TCGTAGTCGAGCAGTCTCGACTAGAGCTTTCTTTCTTGTTATTTACTAATATTATTATCATCAATACTCAAGCATTAAGTAATGCATTCCGTCAATAGTATTTCCGATTTCAAGCTCTTCAATTACTTCTATAATAATGGTTTTTAAACTTATTTTGCTCTCAAACAGAAATTCAAGCGTTACACAGCCGCCGATGTGGAGAATGAGTACTCTGAGCAGGATCACAGTATGGGCTATAAGAACAAACCGACACACACACAAACGTTCTCCAACCAAACACTCTCCAAGGATCTTCAAGAGATTGTGCTAAGCGAAAGCGACAATTTTGGAGTGCCATCGACTGGGGGGAATTGTCAGTCTCTGTTAGCTCTGCCATCGCCCCATTGCGCCAGTGGCAAGAGCAGTTGCTATGAGCTGACGCGCCCGTCCTCATTGTCGCTGAAGCGCACTTCCACCGCTTCAACAACAATAACCACAATGACAAGTGGTATAGGTCCCAGCTGCAGTTTGTTAGATGCGCAGTGGCAAACCCAATCGCAATCGCAATCACAAACGCAAACACAAACACAAATGCAAAACCCACAGCATCAGCAACAACAACAACAACAACAGAAGCAACGCGCCCACAGTTTTCGGCATTCGCATCTCAGTGTAAGTGGTGGGGACAGGCTGCGTAGCCACCACCACCATCATCAGCATCAGACCGCGGGGCCGGGAGGGGCGGATGCTGGAGCAACCACAACAACCAATATCAAATCGTTGTCGAACCGCATTACATCTCTCAAGAAGGAGAACAAAACAACCCAAACATTAAGCATTGTCGTTGGGGGCTTCATTGCGTGCTGGCTTCCGTTTTTTGTCTACTATCTGATAACCCCGTTCCTGGCCGAGGACCAGGTCAGCGCCACCCTGACCAAAGCCCTCACCTGGCTGGGCTGGTTCAACAGCGCCATCAATCCATTCATATACGCATTCTACAGTGTCGATTTTCGGGCGGCCTTTTGGCGCCTGACCTGCAAGCGATTTTGGAGTGACGAGCAGAAACCACAGTTTCCCACTAACACAATGTCGATTAGGCGATAGGCGGCAGAGTAGGCGTGTTCAAACCTCAAAACCACAAAACCTGTGAAATTAGAAATTGGATTTGGCGACATCACGTCATTTCCAGTGCGAATACCAATATTGCTTTTAGATTATACAGCTAGATAATGCAAAATGAAAACTGAGGACTTGCTCCCGCTTTTCACCAAATAATCAAAATTACGTCTATGCAGCTTGCGTTGAGGCATATTTTTGGGTAAACAATTATTAACATGATAATATAGTAGCTAACACTCTATTAATATTGCAATAAGTATTAGCCAGACTCACAGCAGCATAGAATAGAGCAAATGCTACACTAAGCTGAATCAATTAACCCACATAGCGTATACACATACATACAACTATATCTATAGGTATATACACATAAGTAGAAATCCAGTACCTATACAGTTTTTGACATCTTATTATGATAAGATGTTGCATTCACATAGTAACTTCCAATAGAAGCAGCGTAGTATTCTAGCTCTACCCAACATCGTGAATATACATACATATATAAATGTACATATGTATTACATTTTTAATTGTGATTTAGCCTTAATTAAACCCTCACAACATTTACAACATTAGACGTAGAGCAAACAATTTCCATTGGTGTCATAAATAATATATCAAAATCAAAAAAGCTTTCAGGTGTAAGATAATATTTAGATATTTTCGCTATGGATTCATATACATCTATATATGTATGATATCATATTCGAAACACTAACTACAATTCTCCATAATTTCTGTATAGGATTCAGTAAAAAGGTAAAAGCTGCCTGTAGTCCCTTAGCTCACCTGAGAAAATGTTGTACGATATACATATGTATATCAAACTTCGATTCGAATATATTTTTAAATACAATTTAATGCGAATACTTTGAAGTGAAATGATGTCAGTGCAAGAAGTGTAAGCTCAGAAAACAGTTTGTGTTTTAATTAATTGGAGACCTCCTCTTCAGTAATCCTAGTACAACGTCACCATAGGAAACCTAGCGACATATGTACAGCCAGCCATACGGGGTTACGTAATTATGATGACATTTCATTTTTGTTATGGCTTTAAGCTCAAACTCAATTAAATTACGAGGCAAGAAAAATAGTCGCACTTGACTATTAGGAATAACTAGGATTATAATTCGGATATGGGTATGGGTACACTCCTAGCTCTTTTAATTCTGTATGTATTATTAAACTAAGTCTAAATGGCAAAATGGATTCCAGCAAGACATAATCAAAGATTAGATATTATATAAATTGGGAGATGTGAGGATGGTAAGCTGGAGAAGAGTCTAATTTATATTTATATAGAGAATTATTGATACAAATAACTGTTAGACAGGCCCACGGCCCACAATCATGGCAAGATCGAGTTAGCTTCTGACACCCTTCTATGAGATTCCATCGAGTTGCCCGATTTCAGTTATATATTTTGTATTATTTATTCTGCTTTGGTACAGGCAACGCGGGCCTCGTGCTGAATATCAATCATTGTAATCCATTTTAGATTGTAACTTTGTTTTAGTGCTAATAATAAGAACACACATAAGGCTTTAAATAAATCTATTTATTTTATACGTGCTCTTACATCTGTTTCAAATTCAAATAAAAAATTGTGGACTTCCTAATCAATTATTATACACCCAAACAAATGTGTTTCAATCCGGGGGGCTTAAGGGCTTACGCGCGAAACATATTTATATGGTTTTGGGCCAGTTTCTGTTTGCAGATTCGCCGGCATGTGAGGCGCCAGAACGCAGCCCGGAAGTCCGGATTAAAGGCATAAATGAACGGGTTAATGGCGCAGTTCACCCAGCCGACCCATGTGAGGAACGACATGAGACCCTCGAGCTTTTTCAGCTGCGGCCAGAAGGGCACAAGGATGTAGAAAGTAAAAAACGGTGTCCAGCATGCGATTAGGCCTCCCATGACAATGGTGAGAGTCTTGGTCGTTTTGCTATTTTGAATTTTGGTCGATACGCGCATGGGAATGCGATGACTTGCCAGCTGCCGCTGCATCTGGTGGGACGTTGTGGACGCCCGGTTGGCTCCCATCTGATTACCATTCGGCATTTCCATGGACGTGTCAGCCATGCACTGGCTCTCCTTGTAGTACAGAGCTGGCATGGACAAGGTCGAGCTGCATTTGGCATGGTAGCGGCAGTTGTCCACGGAGCAGTGCATCAGCGAGGACATGCGCGAAATCTCCACCAGCTCATAGAAGGTCGGCTGATGCTTAAACTTTTTCCGCTTATCCCCAGCTCTTGCCTCCTGGCATTTGGGGCACTTGACGTTGTTGGCCCCAAATATGGGATTCACATGAGATCCTATGACGCTGCACCGCGCCTCACAGCTTGGCAAGCATTTGTGCGGATTGCAGCGATAAAGCTCTGCTTCGGATATAAAATTATCGCCGTCCACATCATGATCTGCGGTGCGTTCCGTATTCTGGTGGAATGAGAACGAATATAAAGAGTCTAAAGTCTATGTAAAAGGCGTTACATACCGCATCGTGCACGATTCGTTGTCTTCTTGAGGTCAGCACAAAGCCAATCTTAACGTAAACATATAACATGATAGTCAGAGGTATGAAGAAGGAGCCCATTGCCGAGAAAACGACATATCCTTTATTCTGGTTATAGCGGCATTCAACGAATTCATCGTCATGCCGGTTTCTGCCTGGCTCATACCTGGAGAAGAATATTTATATGTGGAATAAATTAATGTTCACATATATATCTGATTTATATTTGTATATACTCACCAGCCAAACATCGGGGGACACGTAATTATAAATGCCACGATCCAAACTCCAAGAATCATTAACAATGCCAATCGCTTGCAGCGCCATTTCTTCGAATATGTCAACGGTTGTGTCACGGCAAGATACCTAAGTATAAAGCAATATAAATTGTAAAATAAAAAAAAATACAAAATGAAATCGAGTAAATGAAAACAAAAACCATGCACCGTATTGTGTATTAAGCTGTTGACAAACGTCCCTAGCAAACAACGCAGCTTGGCGGCAACTCGGAAATGCCATTTAAATGTAATTGAAACTTTCAACAAAAGAAACCAGCCCTATATACATACATACATACATGCATACATATATACATATACCATATACATACATACATATACAGGAGTACCGCCCACATTCGTCATTTACTGGAGGAGGAGGCAGCTCTGCACTATTATAGACCTCGCCCACTCCGCGTTAGAGTTCACTTTAAGCGAGTCGCACAGAATGGGTCAATAAAATATTTTTGCACGGTATTTTCACCTTTTGATGCGCCAATGACGTCATGGCAGTGAATTACATTCCTTTTCCACACCGACAAATTAACGCACGGCATAAAAATGAAGGGACTGTTTGCCTAGGTAGGTGCACGGCTTTCATTAGTCATTAACTCGTGCGAGAGTCAGGAGAGAACATGTTCATACATGCACACGTATACTATATTTGCGAAATATGAAATATGAAAACAAATTAACATTGCTTCGTTACTCACCTGTCCAAGCTTATGGCACACAAACTCAGAATGGATGCCGTGCACAGCAAAATATCAAAGAAGATCCAAACATCGCAGAGTACCCAGCCAAGTTGCCATGAGCCTGCATAGAGTATAAATTAGTAAAAAAAAGGACAAGGCACTCTGTTTTAGTCAGAAATGTCCGACTCTCGAGATACTTTGGCCTCAAGGCCTTACATATGTATATAATCTATTGGGGCAGTAACCGAATTCAATAAATACTTAATATATCTAAGAGAAGCTATATGCATATATAATTTAATTATAATTTAATAAATACTTAATATATGTTAAGCTATATGCATATATAACCCTTATGAACATATGTTTCTAGATTCTATATATTCCTTCTATTCCTACAAAATCAATATACCCTGAAATACCATGTTCGATGGGCGCAGGATCTAATTATTTTTTCTGTGTCGAGCTTAAATGCCAAGAAAACACTTGATGCATTCGCTGTATTAAAGGTTAGTGAACTATTAAGTAAGTTAAAACAGAATATTAACCAAAGCCCGGTACAGCCCAGCCCCTATTGGCTCCGATGACGACCTTTAGATTATTCAGACTTTTACACGCCAGGCTCAACAATTTCAAAGTATGTCCAACATTGTTAAATTGTGCAAAACTAAAATTGTTTCTCCCAACACACAAAAGGACGAGCAAAGGCAAAGTTTTTGTTTAGGCAACTTCAACCGCATTTGTTGGGCATCTAAAACAACACGCATACCTATTATGCCATAGTATCTATCTGCTGCATCTATGTATATGCTTTGAGGGACCATTCGGCTTTACATTTTCTTTTTTAATTTGACCATTTGCTTGTGAAAACTTTGCCCTTTCAAGAAAAAAGTTTTAATACCTGGCATTTTGGGAATCATAAAAGCACGTAATTACATTTTGCGTTGCCTTTGGCTAGCGACTATTTTTTTGGCGTAGCACAAATTGTTTATATAATTCCGTTATGCATCAAAATTTGATCAAATTACAAGAGAGCGCAGAAAATCCTTTCACGATATATCGACGGAACCAACCAACAAAAAGTTTCTTAAATAGTTTGTTCATAAATTAATTATATCATATGCAAAGTAACGCATATCCGCGGCTTCCTCATTGATACTAGCCTAGCTCGTTGCCATTGAATCGAATTGGGATATGTACTTACCAATCACATGCAAGGCAACTGCCGGGGGCATTACGAATATGCCCACCAGCAAATCAGCAGTGGCTAAGCTCATTACGAAGCAATTCGTGACGGTTCGCAGTCTCCTCGTTGTTAGGACTGATAATATGACAAGCATATTCCCAATTACGGTTACCAATATAAGCAGCAGGAATGAGGCGACAGCTAAAATCGTCGACCAGTTCATACTCTTCAAGGTGGCGTTCATTATTTATATTTCAGTAGAGCTCTCAGTTTTAAGTTCGCTTCATGCGGTTAGATATATTAATGTATTTCTTGCAATCGTCTTGCAAATTTTGAATTGATATATAAATAAAGTTTCCATTTGTCGAAGCTATATCTAAAAAAAAATAAT